TCTAACCTCACCTTTATTCTCAATATACTTCAGCAATCTTTTCTGTGTCTCTCAAGTCAGCTCTGTCACATTTTCCATTAATGTTACTTCCAAAATTGTCCTACTCTTCTCACAGGCAAATCATAGTGAAATTATATACTTCAATATCTCCTAGTTCACTCTTAGTCAGTGGTCTTTCTTCCTACATCACAAACTAAAATGAAGATCATGAGATTTGAAGACCATTCTCTATCTTAAAAATCCACATGTGGGGCCCTCCCTGGTGGCGCAGCCAGTTAAAGCATAGTACTAAGAAGCTAAAGCCACTTCAGCATGAATTCTATTCCTGCCTGTCCCAGAGGTGATTCACATGGCCCAGCAGATTTCTTCTGACCCACCCCCTGCTCCCCTCAGCAGTGTACTTGTCAGTCGGCCTGTTCTGGTCCCCAGTGTCTCTGGCGAATCCTCTCACCGCCCCTGCATCTCTGGACTGTACCTCAGTTCTGTACTGCATAAATAAATCTTTTTTTTTTTTTAAATCCACATGTGGGCCCTCCTTGGTGCCTGTACCACAGTGGGTTAGGACACAGCACTGCAAGCCAGCCACAGCGGCTTCAGTGCAAGTTTAATCCCCAGCCCCAGAGGTGACTCACATGGCACAGCAGACCTCTCCTGTCTTGCTTGTGGCTCCCCTCAGCAGTGTACCATGTTGATCTGCCTGTTCTGCAACCCTCTCTGTCTCTGGTGAATCCTCTCACCACTCCTGCTCCTCTAGCCTGTACCCCAGAGTTCTGTATGCATAAATAAATGAATCATTTTTTTAAATCCACATGTATGTCTACCAACCATTCCTTACTTATATCCTGCAAGTCATTTCTCAAAGAAACGTCCCTCCATTTGTATAAGGCTAATAATTCAGAAGACTTTGATCCCCCACAAAAATAATAATGTGCCTAAATGAAAGTCAAGTCTTAACCCTTCTTGTGGGGGAAAAATTTCCATGACTCCAGATGTTCTAACTCTCTTCCTTCTTTTACACATTTTGGGGGCAGTGGCATGGAGGGTATAATCTTTGTGGCCATATACATACACTCTCCTCCTAATCATTTTCTTACTTACTGTAACCATGCTTGTGTCCTACTAAACAAACTGCTCCCAAGGCCTCATCATTCCTAACCCTAAAGAGTGCATTTTATCTCAGCTCCTATATGTCTTTGGGACTTGGCATTAGAGAAAATGGTTCAAATTCTCAAATTTATAGCAATAATAGCAACTACCTTTCACTTAATACATACTGGTTCCTGTGCTAAGATTAACACATTTGTCTTATTTAATCCTCTCACATTAATTGCATCTCCTATTGAGGAAAAGTAGTGTTCCAATAGGTCCAGAGAAAGGAAGAGAAAAAAATGGAGTTGGATACTAAGTCTCTCTGACTCCAAAAATCCATTATCTTAATAACTGTGCTATTTTCAGACAAATGTACCATATCCCCTACTGGCCAGTCCCACTTAGATTCACTCAGGTACTTTAAAATCACCAAGTCCCTCCCTGATGGTGCAACATGTTGAAGTGCAGCACTATGAAGCAATCTGCAGCCACACAGCACCAGTTCAATCCCGAGCCAGGAAGGTGACCCATATGGTGTGGCAGACCTCTCCTGACCAACCTACTGCTCCCCTCAGCAGTGTATTTAACTAGATCTGCCTGTTCTACTCCCCACAGCCTCTGGTGAATCCCCCTCTCCCCGCAACTCTGGCCTATACCACATTTCTTGTATACATAAATAAATAAAATCTTTTAAAAAAAAAAAATAAAATCACCAGGTCCAAAACTAAATACATCTTCTAACCCCAGACCAACAATTTCCTGCTGTCATCTACTTCTCTGAATGGTACCTAATCTATCAAATTGTTTACACACACACATTCACTCAGTCTGCAATTATTTAAACACAACAATTAACCCAATACATCTTTGCCATGCAGAAAGAAACTGGGGTAACTAAACAAATCAAGAGAACATGCAAACTCCCAGCAGGGAATTGATTTTTTTCCCTCATCAACATTAAAACAAAATGTTTCAATAATGAAATGATGCTATTTGAAGACCTTCTGTATTGATATCTTAGATTGATCATTTTTGCAAGGGAGGGGCTATTTTGAGCCTTGAACCATGTTTTGTATCATCCCTGTCCTCTACTCAACAGATGCTAATGGCATCATTTACAGTTGTGACAATAAATGTCTCCAGACCTTGCCAAATGTCCCCAGGGGTGAAGGGGATCAGAGGGAGGAGTTAAAAGCATGAATTCAGAATTACTGGCCTGGAATAAAGAGCTTTTTTTTTTTTTTTTTACTTAATTCTCACCAAATGCCTTAAATTCAATTAGTACCTTTACTAGAACTTACCATGATCCTGGGAATACTTTTCCAGGCTATGAAGAACCAGAATTGGCAGCAATTCTCACACAGTGTAAGGTTTCCATTCCCTTTCTCCTATTGTCCTTTGTATCCTAAGTGGGTTGGTGCGTATTCCCATCTATTTTAGGTTTAGGACTGGACTAAATTTACCAAGTGGCTGTGACTAGGAAAAGATCTCCCCTCAGGCAGTCAGAAACTTAAAAGAAGGCCCATCCTTGGGCCACCTGTTGCCATTCAATGGACAGGTTCATATTATCCCTGGCCTCTGTCTTTTCATCACACTTCATTATCAATGAACAGTTTCTAATCCAGCTTTGCTTGGAGAATTGTTTGTTGTCCATACCCAATTCCTCTTGCTGTCCACCCTGGTGCACACTACATAGGAGTTACTTCTCACGTGAGATGTAATTAATTACAAGACAAAAAGTCTATTATTCTAAGTGTCTTCCCATATTTCGCGGTTCCAATTTTGTCAAAATGTGAACCATCATCAAGCACATCTCTCAGACCTCAATGTCAGATGTTTTGGGGTATGGGTGCCTTGTTCTTTAAAGTCCCTCTATCCCCTAAAAAATATATTTCATACATGTCAGTTAACCTTTATTATAAATCTGGCTTTTCTCACAAATCTGATGCAAATCTATGGCTAGACATTTTCTCAATAAGTTGCATTGGCAGGAAACTTCATTTGATCTATGTGGACTTGCTTCCCACACCAATGATTTCGTTTTCTTACTTATATCCCTTTCTATGTATTACATTAATATTGTGGATTCTGAATATTCAGTCTGCAATAAATTTAGTGGATACAGGATTTAGAAGAGGGGGTTGCAAGAAGTCAGTTTAAAAAATTAACCCATCTCAAATGGCCATTTCAGTCCAGCACCGTCTAAGTCTTAATGGAAAGATACGATTTATGATTCTAGCGTATTGAAGGATTTTCTTGGCGGAGGTACAGAATAAAAAGAAACTTTCTGTCCCAAATGCTTCCTTGATACATAAGGTGGAGGAAGCAAAATTCAGGGAAAGATGCACGATTGGAGGTGAGAGCTAAAAAAGAGAGAGAGAGCAGAGCCTTGTGACCACCCAGACTCAGCTCTCGGCCCACAGGACTGGTCGGAGCCAGCCTTTAGCCTGGCGCGGAGGTGAGGAATACCCAGTGCTGGGTTAGTCAAAGCGTCACTGAATGCTAGTGGGTCTCTGTTCAAGAGCCCACCGGAATCGTCGAAACTAATGTTTTTAGCATTATGGATGATCGGGTATTTTTTAAAAAGAGGGAAGCACACACAACTGAAGTGGGCGCGCTCAACGTAATGCTATTGCCAATTATAACTTTGTATTCAGTGCATTATCCTCTCAAAAACAAAGCCATTTCTTCAGCCTCAAATATGCAAAGGTCTGAGAAAAGTAGGCGTTCTCTTAAACGTATTCAACTAGCCTTCTCCTCAGTCACGTAACTGAGCGTCGCCCGCGAGCGCTGCGGGTAGGGAAGGAAGGCGGCCAGGACGGGACAAACTTCCTCCGTGGCGGCCTCAGAGCGCGCAGGCGACATCTGACGTTGAACTTTCGGTCGCGGAGCATAACAGAAGGAGCGGCGGGAAGGGAGGTGGACGCCTATCTCATAGACAAAACAAACTTTGGGGATGGCTGTGGGACGCGCTGAGTACACCCGTGTCGACTCGGGGTTACCACGTTTTGTGGAAAGTGCATTGCCGGAGCGGCGCTCAATTTTCTTGCGTCCCGGGGAGTCGCACGATGACGCAATTCCAGGTGCGCCAATCCTGAACAGGCGGGAGGGCGGGCTCTTCAAATTTGAATTCCCAAACTGGTGTAGGTTTTAGGGAACCTCAGCGTGAAGGTGTGGGCGTCTTGACGCGGGCCGCTGTGAGTTAAGGGGGCCATGTGCTAGAGGCGCAGGCCTTGGGGCGCTCGGCCCTCCACGAGAAGCCGAGTTAGGACTGCCGCCCAGCCGAGCCCTACACTCCAGGTACGACCTCCCCACCACACCCTCGGCCCCTGCCGCGCCCCTGCCCCTGGTGCTGAGTCGCAGCCCTTCCGCAATCCTGCCCCTGGCTGCCTGCTGTACATTGCTAGCTTTAGCAGTAATGGCTTCACACTCATTCGGCATGTTTTTTGTTTGTTTGTTTTTTGTTTTTTTTGCGTGCCTACTTGGTTAACAACAGCGTAGAACGCCTTTTTCGTTCAGATTGTCAATAGTCAGCGCTCTAGGCCTTTACGCCAGCATGGTTATTAAGTTAGAAAAATGTTCGAGGCTCTCCACCTTCTAACCCAGGGTCTACCGATCTAGCCAGCTTGTTTTCTGATTAAATAATATATTGGTTGCATGCATTTTCAGATGTTAATCTGAAATTACATAGAAAATAGAAGCCCCCGTGGTCCTCTTGAAAGATAACTGTTTTATGATTTTTGTACACTTCCGGAGATCTCTCCGCCCTGTGCTTTCCCCTATACTCGTGTGTTTGTTTTTATTCACAGGTACATCCTGTTCTGCTTCCCTTTTAAAGTTTAGTCTCTAATTATGTTAGTTTATGTCTGTGTCTACACAGTGTACTGAATGCATAGAATTCAGTTATGTAGATGTAGCAGAATATCGCCTTTCATTGCTGGACATCTATCAGTAAGTTTTTTTTTTTTTTTATCTCATTTTCTCTGAATTACAGTGAACACTCTTTGTATAATGGCTGTTTAAGAACTTGGCCTTTGCAGTTAAATGGACTTAAATCTTGCTCATACTCAATGTCAAGAAGACTTTAGGCACTTTGTTTAAGACTTTAGGCACTTTGTTTAATTACCCTGTGTGGTTTCTTCATCTGCAAAATGGGGATAATAAAGATACTTTTTTTTTTTTTTAAGATTTATTTATGTTTACAGAACTGGGGTACAGGCCAGAGGTATGGTGGGTGAGAAGATTCATCAGAGACGAGTGAGGAGCAGGACAGGCAGATTGACTGAAATATACTGCTGAGGACAGCCGTGGGCTGGTCAGGAGAGGTCTGCCTCGCCACTCGCCGCCGTGTGGATCACTTCCAGGCAGGCAGGGTTGGAACTCATGCGGAAGTGGCTTAGGCTTCTTAGTCCTGTGCTTTAACCCGCTGGGCCACCGGGGAGGGCCCAGCATTAATTTTTTACAACTTGATTTTGACCTGAGGTTTTTTTCAACTGAAGCCTCATGATTAAAATGTTCTATAGCAGGCCCTCCCCGGTGGCGCAGCGGATTAAAGCACTGCACTAAGAAGCCTAAGCCACTTCCGCATGAGTTCGATCCCTGCCTGCCCCGGAGGAGATCCACAACATGGCGTGGCAGCCCTCTCCTGACCCGCCCGCTGCTCCCCTCAGCAGTGTACTTCGTAGATCTGCCTGTTCTGCTCCCCACTCTGCCCCTGGTGAATCCTCTCACCCTCCGCATCTCTGGCCTGTACCCCAGCTCTGTATGAATGAATAAATAAATGTTTTAAAAAAAATGTTCTATAGCAAAACAAAATTTGGGTTGTAGATTATTTGACTAAAAAATTGTATAGTTTTTTAAACTTTCATTAGGCTATATCATTTTAACTATTACCTTAAATATAAATACCTAAAAATATAAATACCTATAAATACCTAAAAACCATATTTGGTTTTTCATATTTGGGAAACTTAATTTTTTTAATAAAATAGTTTATTTTTACATCATTTTGTGCCTTTTTCCATCTCAGTTGTAATCCCCATCACCAAATCACCCATGTGCCATCACCATAGTCCAGTGCATTTCCCCCCTTCTGCCCCCCAATTGGGAAACTTAATCTTTTTAAAGCTAATATAGTTTCATAAACAGATGACATTTAATAGCAAATAATGGTAAATAATGGATTGGAAATTTCAGGACTTGTGCAAGTGAATGTTTCAGTCTAAAATTTAATTCTTAAAACTATTAAGTAGATGGCTTAATAAGTACCACATTTTTGTGAAGAAGTAAATTTAAAGACCAAACTGCTCATCTATTGTAAAATAATGAGGTTTTGTCAAAAATGTAAAAGTTTGTTCTGTCCTATGAACTTAAGACTGTTCAGTAGTTATGAACCAATTAAACATTCAAACAAATATAATATGGTCATAGCAATATGCAATTGTGCACCAGAATATGACATATCTTCTTGATTTCACATTGAACTACAGGTTATGTGCTGAAAATTGTGTTTAAGTGAATTTTCTGTTAGAGGAACTTGTTGCTACTGTTACCAAGATGATTGCTACACCCTTGAAACATCCAGTAATTCACTTGTCTTCAGAAGCATCTTCTCAGAAGAGAAATATGCCCATGCATGCAATCTTCTTTGACAACATTCCTTCAGGCACACTAACCCCTGTGAAAGATTTGGTGAAGTATCGGGATTCCTCTTTAAAATTGAATGACAACAAAACAAATCAATTCCTAGATATGACAGTTTTTCATAATAAAAATGTATTTCAGTCTACCATGCTTACAGAGGCTGCTACCACCAACAGTTCTCTTGATATCAGTGCTATAAAGTCCAACATGGATATATTACAAAATAAAGCAAACTATGAATCACCAGGAAAAATATTTAAAAGAATGAAAGAAAAAGTACTGCGTGATAAGCAAGAACAAGCATCAAGAAATGACACTTTGTTGAGACCACCAAAAACTAAAAATAATAAAATATTCACTCCTACTGAAGCTGAGGAAAAAATATTGCAGAATACCTACCTGTGTGAAGAAAAGGAAAACAATTTCTTCCAGTCAAGTAACAGTTCACAGAGAGGTTGGTTGTATTATGTTACAAAGTTATAGTGTGTAAGTTTTTATTGAGTCTGGAACTCTTTGAAAAACTCAGGATATGGTAATGAACATAATGGACAACTTGCACTCATACAGCTAGCTCATTCTCAGGATGTGGGAGACAGATAATTAAATAAGTAATTTTTACAATAGAAACAAAGTGCTATGGTAATAAAAGCAAAGTACAGATGACAGGAAGAACAGAAACACATTGTAATTTTCAAGGTATGCTTCAATGAGAAGGTGGCATTTGACCCAAAAAATTTAAGGAAGTGATAGGTGTAGATATATATCATCTGGCATAGGAAAGATGACCCAGCTGGTACAAATGTTCTCAAATAGCATGCCTGACAAATTCAAGGACTAGCTATGAGATTGTGGACAGAATGAATGGGCAAATGAAGTAAGTAAACAAGTGGAGGAGGGGATAAATGAGAGGGCAATGAAAGAGCTTGGACTTTTACAATGAGCAGACTAAGGAGCCATTGGAGGGTTTTGTGCAAAGGAATTACAGCATCTCACTTATTGTTTTAAAAATATTACTCTGGCTGTTGATTTGAAACAGATACTGCAGTTGTCCAGGTTAGAGATGGTGTTAACTTGGTCCAAATGGTAATGTTGAAGATAAGTGATTGGATTCTGAATATATTTTGAAAGAAGAGCCAGTAGCATTAGTTTATAGATTAGGTGTGGCATGTCAGAGAAATATAAATGACTCCAGGGTTCTGTTTGCTTGTTTGTTTAGTTTTGGGGTTTCTTGCCTTAGCAACTGAAATGATAAGAGTATTTAACTGAAATGTGCAGATGAAAAGATTGGGTTAGGCTTAGTAATTAAGTTTCATGGTCATATCAATTTTGATATAGCTATTAAAAATTGAGATGGAGATGTGAATCAGGCTGTTGAAAAATATTAGTTGGGATTTAGGGAAGTTCTCCAGATGAGAAAAACATATTTGAGAATCATTAGCATCTAAAAGCTATAAAACTAGAAGAGATCAGGAGTGAGTACAAAAAAAAGAAAACATTGTGTCTGAGTCCTGAGAACTCCAAAATTTAGAGATTAGAAGAAAAGGTAGAAACTAGTGAAGACCACTGAGAAGAACAACAAAAACAGTAATGAGACTGAAAACCAAAAGAACAAAATGCTTTAAGGAGGGAGTTGTTAGCTATGTCTAATCAAATCTGTAAGTCAAGTGTACTGCTAATCAAGTCAAGTAAGATGAAGGCTGGTATTTGACCATTGGATTTAGCAATGTGGAAACTATCGGCAACTTTGATTAGGGTAGTGTTGGTGGATATGAGCAAAAATGTGATTCAAGAGATACTGAGGAGAGAAATTAATGAATATATGCAACTCAGTTTAAGGAAAGTAAAAAACTTGGGAAAGTTGATTTTAAAAGATTTTATTATTTTTAATGATTAGTGAAATAGCATGCTTGCATATTTTGAGAGTAATAGCTAGCAGAAAAGGAAAAGTTTTCGGTAGTGTGATACCTTGAGAAGGCGAAGGGAATAGACTCAAAGTGGATGTTTGGCTTTAGCTAGTGACAAACAGATCATCAATCAAACAAAAAGTTAATGTAGGCAGTTTTGACATGAAGTAGGAAATGAAGTCATCATTTGAGAGTGAGTGTTGAAACAGGTATTGAGTTATGAGGCAGAAAGGCTTGAATAATGTAGCTAAATGGAAGGATAAATGGTCTAGGACTAAATTTGATTTCCTGAACAATATTAAACACTTCCTTGAAATTTGTGGGTATGAATTTCATTAAGACCAAACACCATACTTGTGAGTTCCCATTACCCTTACTTAGCTGCATAGTAAGGGAGAGAATTGGCAGAGAGTTGAATTTTATCATGATTGTAATTTTGCCAAATAGTATGACATGAAAGAAGGACAAAGAGAGTTGGGTATCTGCAAAGGGGTAGCCATAATTGATCATGAAATTTTAATTGTCCAAACAACAAAAAGAAGTATAAGTATTGTTAGGATAATTAATGGATTTGAGAGAATGATCTGAAAAGATAAAAAATGGTCAAAAATTGGGACATTTGAAGTTGTCATTCTAATGAGTTGTAGTAACTGATAAGAGACATTTAACATGCATTATCTTAATCTTTTCAGCAAACACTGGGTAAAAATGTTCACTTAATAATGAAGGAAATGGGGATTATAAAGAGGTTTTGTATGCTCTAGGTCTCTGACAGGTTGATAATTAGATAAATGTATCTTAGCTGTCTGTACTCTTTACTACTATACCATACAATAGATTTGTGGGGAAATGTTGAGTTTCAAAGATGGTGATACATTTTCACGCAAAACAGTTTTCAAGTTGAGGATGAAGGTGATGGTATTCACAAAATAATTTATTTCTCATGCAGTCTGAGACAAAAGCACATTTTACATGTAAGGTAGAATTAGAGAAAGAAATGAGACTACTTTGAGAATTTGATAACTGTCCCCATAAAATACATATATATTCAAACTCTAATTTTGTGTGTTACTCCAGAGACTTTTTTAAGAAAGTCTGAATGAACCTTGGACTTTCAAATAAATGAACCAGCCTATGCAGATCAGATTACCTACTTGTCTTTACTGCATTGCCCTGCCATTTTCCATTGAATGAGTTAAAGAAATGGAAACTTATCCTTTTATGATATTATGTCATTAATAAAATCTTTATATTAAGGTTTCTAAGGCAAGAGTGTGTATACTCCTTAAAGCATAATCATAACTGTAATTCCTTTTTCCGTGTCCTGGTATAAGTTTAAGTATCCAAGAAAAACACTTTAATCTACAATGTAGGCAATACTCTTAGTCCCCATATGTCTAGTTGATAAACCTACCAGATTTGTGTCTTTATAGATCTGATATAAAAATGTCAATGGTTGAGTCTGCTATTGAATCTCAAAATTTTAATTTTTAAAGTATAATTTTTCAACTATTCTTTCATACTTTAGAAATTTATAACAACCAGTAATAGAATCAAGATTGCCAAGACTGGATGGCACATCATATATAATCTTAAAATGCAGATTTGAATTGGAATCCAAATTTTATTCCAGCTATCTAAGCTTCTAAGTCCAAAGATATACCTTTGGCTAGAGCTAGCAAGTTTTAACATTTTTTTTTTTCCTAAAGATTTATTTATGCCTACAAGAATTGGGGTATAGACTAGAGATGCAGGGAGTGAGAGGATTCACCAGAGACAGAGTGGGGAGCAGAACAGGTAGATTGACTGAAATACACTGCTGAGGGGAGCAGTAGGTGAGACAGAAGAGGTCTGCTCTACCATGTGGGTCACCACCCTGGCCTGGGATCAAACTTATGCTGCAGTGGCTATGGTACCCCTTGAGCCACCAGGGAAGTCCAAGTTATAACATGTTTTTAAACTTTTAACATAATGTGGCCATGGAAACTGGGTTGATAGTGAAAGATGATAAAGGAAAAATATCATCTGTCATGCATTATAAATGTATACTATAATGTACTGAACTTAAGTCTGTTTCAATTTTAAAAGTCCTTTTCTTGTTCTTTAAAAAGCCCCAACCTCAGTCCAAGAAGTTCCTCTAGAATCAAGTATTTTCCTTCCAGTCAAGTCAAAGACTGGATGTCGAAAAAAGAAAGCACCTCCGCACAATTTAACTTACGGTAAACTGCTTTTTATTTTACCTTTTGATTGGTTATTTGAAGTATGGTTAAGTGTTCTAAATATTTTTTTGTAATTATTTTGATTGTGTTGGCAATTAGCAGTGATTAAGGATAAATTAATTTTTAGGATTGAGACCTAAAACCAGAGGCATTCAGAGAAAGACTGGACAAGATGTTAGAGGAGGAGGATGCCTAACCTGAAGACTATTTCATATAGTCAGTTTTCTCTCTTAATTTCTATGATATTAAATTTCTTAATTTCTTCATCAGCTTTGTTTTTGTAACTTTTGCAGAGCTTTCCGTTCTGAGTCCTGGGCAGGAAAATGTTGCAGTTTCAGGTACCTCCAACAAGGCCTTAACTAGAGCTCAGCTGGCTAAACAGATTCTTCACTCCAAGGAAAATGCAACTATAACCATTGAGTCCAAAAAGAACACATTTGTGGTAGAAGACATTGATTCTACCTATGAACAGTCGCAAAGTACTGGTCTTGAGACTCTCACTATTAACTGTGTTCCAGTTAAGCATGGCATTCAACCTATGACATCTGATTATAAGGTGACAACAAAAGGAACCACACAAAGGGAAGTAAAGGAAAAGAAAGAGAAAACAATGCTCAGAGAACCTGATCTTTCAGGTTCCATGAATGATACATGTAAAATTGTACTTGCAACTCCCAGAGTTCATATAACAATACCTCAGAGATCAGAAAGAAATGCATCAAGGTGTTCTCTTCCAAGTACATTTCAAACTATTACAAATGAAGTTAAAAAAAATAAGGTATGAAAATACTTAAGGAAATGTATGTATCTGAATCTCCCCTCCATTTTTCAAGAGTTTGAGCTCTTAAGTTCTGTCTTATTAACAGTAGCTCATTTTTGTGTGCTTTATTATTTAGTGTAGAGGTAGTGTGGTAAAAGTAAGAAAACCCAGGTGTTAAATCTTACCTTATGGTATTAATCTTTTAACTATTTACAAGAAATTACAAGCAATGAAAAGTTTTAGGTTTTGCCTTAAAAATGACTGAGATGGGTTCAGCAAGAAAGTTTGAATACTATTGTTTTTAAAAGTTCAACAGTATTCATTCCATCATCTCTACAGTCTATTCACACTTAACTCCTAGGACTCATTTCTGTACCTTTCTGTACATCCCTAATTCTGACCTGTCTCTCATTCTTCTCTAGTTCTCCAAACATACTGTGCCCTATGGAACTTAAGGTATCATCAGCAAAATCTTCTAGTCTCAATTTTCTGTGGGTATTTCTTTATCATGACAGAACTAAAATATCACTTTTTAAATGGTAGCTCTTTTTATTGTCCTTAAACATGATAAAACGTGTGTCTCGTATTCCTTATTACTACTTCAGACCATTTTTCCTTTTAACACCACCCTTCTCCTTCCCCAGCTTTGTTGAAGTACATGCAATAAGATTTTATTGATTCCCTGCTCCCATTTGTATATGATACAGCCTCCTAGTCATCACCTTGCATTCCTTTTGAAGTATTTGACACCTGTTATTTTTCCTCTGCTACTTCTGTCATCAGCTGTGGTCACACTAACATCCATATACATGATTCAGTTAGTCTCCTTGAATTCTTGATTGGCAATGACCTTATCTTATCCATATTCATATCATGTCTTTACTAGTGTAAGTACCAGATTGTCAGATAATGCTCACTATCAGAATGATCTGTTTTGACAGATCATTCAACTGTTATAAACTTCCCACCCCCCACCATCAGTATTTCACCCCACTAAGGCAGCTTTCAGTCCCTCAACTCTATCCTATCCTTATTTCCCGCAACAGATTTATTCTCCTGTTCTTTATAGTCAATCCCTTGGCTGGTCTTTCAGTTTTCTTTGTTGGTTTTCCCTCTGTCCTTCTCTTGCAAAATTATAACCTTAATTTTTTTTTTTTTTTTTTTGCTATATACCTGTACCTGAGAAGCAGAAAATAGCTGGAGTAAAAGACATAACATGGAGTTGCTTCTTCCCCAACTCCTACCTATAACTTTTAAATGAGCACAACTGAGAAAAAAATATGATACACTTTTGGGTTTTTGTGGGACTTGGTGTTTTAGTGGACACCATAAGATTTTAGTTGATTTTTTTTTTTCTCTAGCAATTGGAATTTTTATTTAAAGTATTGATTCTGGATTGTGGAACATACTAGTTCAACCTCAACTCAGTCTTTCCCTTCCTCTTTCCTATTTTATATATATTTCTATTTCATTATATAAATTTTTACCTTATTTGCTGTTTAAAATAGAATAATGAGAAGAGCATTAAGGAATCATTTTATTATATGTTTTTTTCTTTACATGTAAATTGGCTTTATACTGATTATGCTATAAGTAATATAGAAAGTATATGCTTTATTTTATGCTTGATTAGGTAGTTCAGCTGAAGGATTGGATGATTAAAAGCATCAAGGATAACACTGCTGTATGTGTAGAAGGAAAACTGATGTAAGTATAACATTTCAATATTATACTTTTTATAAAATTTATATTAAGATACTGTGTGAACGCTTAAAATTGAGATGTGTAAGAAGTAGCCTCTACATACCAAACACTTTCTAAAGAGTTTACTATTCAAAGGCAAAAATAAAATGACTGTGTAGATCCTGACAATGTTGATTGTAACTAGCCTTCTTATCTTTGCCAGTTCTCTCAAGTTATTTTTAAAAATGGAAACTCATCTGTTATGAAAACTCACTGTAATACAGTGCTAATTTTTCTCCAGAGGTTCTAAAAAGTGAACTGGTATTACCTGCTTAATTAATATCAACTACTTAATATTTACTAAATGCATTTCAGTGCAAATTCTTATCTCTAAATTCAGACAACCAGATATAAATTACTAACTCAGAAAAGGAATCAAAGTTGGCTCAAAACTTTGCCATTAAGTAATCATTGGGCACTGCCTGTTTATCCCTAAAGTGAAATCACCAAGTGAGTAGACTTTACCTAATTTTATTACTTCCATTCCCCATTCTTCAAAACCAGTTTCGCAGTGGTGAAGATTGATAATAAAATATAATGGAACAGGGGCCCTCCCTGGTGGTGCAACAGGTTAGAGCATAGCACTGTGAACCTCGCTGCAGCTGCTTCACCACAAGTTCCAACCTCTGGCCAAGGAGGAGACTCATATGGTGTGGCAGACCTCTCCTGACCCACCCACTACTCCCCTCAGCAGTGTACTTTTCACTCTACCTGTTCTGTTCCCAGCTCCGCCTCTGGTGAATCCTCTCAACCACTCCTGCACCTCTGGCCTATACCTCAGTTCTGTATACATAAATAAAATAAATCTTTAAAACATATACATATACATTAATGGAACAACATATCACTATTTAAGATACCTACTTTGAAGTTTTTAAGTTGTTATATAAAATCTGCTTGCTTGCCCAGTGCTCACTTCCCTAATATCCAGAAGTAGCTTAGATTGTCTTTGTTGGATTTCCATTGCTGCTGCTTACTGGCTTTTTGACATGGACAAGTTATGTATCTTCTTTCCATCTCAGTTTCTTAGCCGCACAATGACAATAATAGTACTTACTTTTGGGTTATTTTGAGAATTAAATGAGTTAATATTTGTAAGACTTGATAAATAGTACTTTTAGAGTACTTTTTAAATGTTTGTTAAAATAAAAAAGAACAGAGGGTGAGAATGTATTAAATTCCATTTGACCAAATTAAAGAAACTTAACTTGCTTATGCTTATATTTAGTGTGTTTACTACTAGTTAACTGATGGATCAGATACTTACTGCTTATTTAATACATCTTTATATTTTGTTCTTTCTACAATATTTTATGTGTTTCTTAGTTTCATTTAAATAAATGTGAAAGACTATTATTTCCCAACTAGAACCTCTTTTGGTACTTTCCAAAGAGGAAAGTAAAAATATTTATTTTGAAGGTAGACAAACATAAGATTAACTGTAACTAAACTATACAATGGCAAGAAAGGAAATATGATAAATAGTCCTTGGGGAGAGGAACAGGGAAATTGTTCTCTGGTAACTTACTATCAGGTAAGCTGGATTTGCAAATATTGTCAAAACCAGATATTAAAGAGAGAGTACTATCTGGTGCTTCCTTGGTAATGATATATTTTGTAGTAGGGGTATCCTTTGACCACAGTATACTTACTTGGCACATACTCTGAAGATTATATTAAGCAAAGTTGAGTTCTGCTGTAATGTTTGGTCCTCAAATGTTTTAGAATAGTAATACTATTAATGTAGTTGAAGCACAAATTTATTGTTTTCTATTATAAATGTGTATACTACACATAGGTTCATTGTAACAACTAGTAAAATGAATATTTTAGCCTTAACTAAGTTATTTTTTCTCCTAGAGATGTCACTGACATATACTGGCACAGTAATGCAATTATAGAACGAATTGAGCACAACAAACTTAGGACTTTATCAGGCAACATTTACATATTGAAAGGAATAATAGATAGGAATTCTATGAAAGAAGCAGGTAATGACTTTTATTAATTGATAAATTATTTTAATAGGTGAAACAATCAATCATATTTGTGTGTGTTGATCATTTTTCTCTGAAATAATAACTCTTGTTGAAGTCCTGCAGTTTAAAATTCAAGTGAAGTGTTTATTAGTAAGGAATTGCTTTATAAGAATATAGTCTAGCTCCCTAGTTCCTCTCTTGGGTAAAACTGTTTGGCACAACTCCAGTCCTGGTATAATCTATTTTTCTGCCTGTTCATTGCACACAGCTAAATTTATGATTAACAAGTTGTGGCTGATTAGTGTCACTTGACATCCTACCACAGTTCCTAATTTATTCACTCGCCCGTCCTCCTTGATGACCTAATTCACTTTTTTTTTAAAGATTTATTTATTTATGCATACAGAACTGGGGTACAGGTCAAAGGTACAGGAGCAGTGAGAGGATTCACCAGAGACAGAGGGAGCAGAACAGGCCTACTGAGGAAGTACACTGCTGAGGGGAGCAGTGGGCAGGTCAGGAGAGGTCTGCCGGGCCATGTGGATCACCTCCAGGGCAGGCAGGGATCGAAGTCATGCTGAAGTGGCTTCAGCTTCTTAGTCCTGTGCTTTAACCTTCTGTGCCACCAGGGAGGGCCCTATTTCACATTTTTACAAATCTGTAGTAACCTCCCTCAATCATGTATGGGAGAAGGGGAGTACCTGAGCAATAAGAACAAGCAAAAGATAACTTCTCAGGAGCCTCCCTGATGGCACAAGGAGTTAAAGTGCAGCACTATGAAGCTATTGGCAGCCACTACAGCACGAATTCAATCCCCAGCCAGGGATGTGACCCATATGGCACAGCAGACCTCTCCTGTCTTACTGCTGCTTCCCTCAATAGTATATTTCAGTTGATCTACCTGTTTTGTTCCCCACTCTGTCTCTGGTGAATCCTCTCTGCCCCCTCACTTCTGGCCTACACCCCAGCTCTTGTATACATAAATAAATCAATCTTAAAAAAAAAAAAGATAACTTCTCAAACACATCTATTCACATGCTTGCATCTATACCTACTTTTATTGTGGATGAACCATTTGTGTTCCTATCTGTCACCCTTTGCACTGGTACTCTAATTTACATTTTCGCTATTATTCAGGGATAACACTCTAGTAATTTTCCCTTTTGTCAAACAAATAACCCTCTTACCTATACTTTTCTCAGTCACTAGTCACTATTGCTCTCATCTGCAACAAAACTCAAAAGTACTTTATATCTAATTCCTCTTGAATTCCTACCATTTTTTAAGAATTCTCTCTAGGACCTCCCTGGTGGCGCAGCGGGTTAAAGCACAGCACTAAGAAGCTAAAGCCACTTCCTCATGAGTTCAATTCCCGCCTGCCCCGGAGGTGACCACATGGCGTGGCAGACCTCTCCTGACTCGCCCGCTGCTCCCCTCAGCAGTGTGCTTCCTCGATCTGCCTGTTCTGCTCCCCACTGTCTCTGGTGAAGTCTTTCACCGCTCCTGAGCCTCTGGCCTGTACCCCAGTTCTGTATGCACAAATAAATAAATCTTTAAAAAAAAAAAAAGAATTCTTTCTAATCATGCTTTAACCACAAATTCTTCCTGGAAACAGCCCATTATAAAGTCACTAGTGGGCCCTCCCTGGTGGCATAATAGGTTAAAGCACAGCACTGTAAGCTAGCCACAGCTGCTTCAGTGCGAGTTCTGTCTCAGCTCCGGAGGTGATCATGCCATTGCAGACCTCTGGCACACCTGCTGCTCCCCTCAGCAGTATATTTCGTCACTCTGCCTGTTCTGCTCCCCTCTCTGTCTCCCCTTTCTGTCTGTGGGTCCCACCATACCTCTGGCCTATACCCCAGTTCTGTATGCATAAATAAATAAAATCTTTAATAAATAAATAAATAAAAAGTCACTAGTGTTTACCGTATTGCTAAATCCACTATAGACCTGACTCGGCTAATCACATCTATGACCTTGAAATACTGTCTTCTGATTTTTACACTGTTCCACTCCCTGTTCTTAGTTTTTTTCCCTTCTTTACTTCTAAATAATGGGGTAGACTGGGGCTCTTTCTATACTCACTGCTGTTCTGACTTCTTTCAAAGCTTTAAATCTCAGAGACTAAAACAAATTTGTATCTCTAACCAAGAACACCCCTCTAGCCACTCAGCTCATTTGACATCTCCACTATGTAGTGCCGTCAAGGCCTTATTAATCTCACACTCCCAGCTGCTTTACTACCCCTCTGAGTAGCCTCTCACTTTACCTTTACTGCACTGATTTTTTGGTTTTACAGAAGTGCCAGGCTCACCTTGCCTTATACCCTTATATGCTTCCAGATTTTAACCCCATGTTGCACATAATTTACCCCCTCATTTCCATGGCTTTACTCAAATGAACTTGGGTTCTTATTTAAAATGCTACCAACCCCCTTAACCCCATTGTGTATCCCTATCCCTCTTCACTGCTAATTTTTCTCCATAGGGAAAGAAAGAACTATCAAATAAGCAAAATATTTTACTTATTGGTTTGCTTTCTGTTTTACATTAGGAGCAAGTTTCATAAGGTAGGGATTTTTCTTTTGTTAATTGTTTAATACTCAGTATCAATGACAGTGCCCAGCATGTAGTAAACATTAAGTATATGCTTTCGAGTGATTGAGTGAATTAATGACATCTCTGTAAAATTCTAAGTTTTTAGTAATTGTTTTTGTTTATCATTAAATAGGATATTCAAATTATTTCATAAGGAAGTTTATGTTTGGATTTCCAAAAAAATGGGAAGAGTACATTGGTAGTTTTCTAGAACAATTAAGGTAAAGTAATTTTTTAACTTTTTCTTAAAAAAAAAACACAACTTTATTCAGGTATAATTTGCTTTTGATAATATTTTAGATATAAAATGTGATGATTTTTACAAACGCGTATACTTATATAAACAATATAAAGTGGTTTTGCTTTTTTGTTTTTGGTTTTATTTTGAGGTGGGGGTGGCAGTGAGGTTTAGTTTTGAATTTCTTTTTGACCTTAAAACTTTCAGAAGGAAATAGCACTGTACTAGAATTTCTGTCATGTAGTAAATCTAAAACGAAAATAATACCTTTGACATATTTCAAGGAGTCTTTTTTAATCACCTACCCTTTAAGAGGCATATAGCTATAAAAAAACCAAGCTCTTTATCCTTTTTTCTTTTACTTATTCCCTCAGTGGTTATTGAATCTCAGCTGCCTTGCAAACAGTGTCATCAAAGAAGAATTTGATTAATTTTTGCTTTAAATAATTCAAGCAATATGATGTGTTAATTAACAATGTAATATAATAGGGGTTGGCAATTTATTTCTCTAAAGCACCAGATAATTGTTTTTATATACTGCCTCAATAGAAACTACTCAACTCTACTTTTAGACAGAAAAGCAACCACAGAGATTACTTGAACCAATGTGGCAATGGTTCAGTAAACTTTATTTACAAAAGCAGCTAACTGACAGGACTTATCTTTAATTTTCTTAAAATATTGACTTAAGAAATATAAGAGTATATAATAGGAAGCATTTAAGCAGTTAAAATTTAATCCAGAGGCTAGATTTTAATCTTTTACATAAAATGTTATACTTCACTTCTTCATGGGGGTGAGGAAAAAGATAAGATGCCATGAAGGATAAAAAATGTAAGTTGAAGGTAATCTTGCTATGGGGGAAAGGAGCTTTATCTGAGGGAGTTTTATTTACTTGTGGTTTTATGCTTTGATAACCAATCTTATTAAGGAGGTAAAAAAAGCCCCACTGTATTTGTTTTTAGGGCTTGTGAAAAAAAAGGGGGGAAAGCCAGAAAAAATCAGAAAATTGGATTATTTGTCCCTGATGTTCAAAAATCAATGAAAAGTGATGCAGGAGAAAACCAGTCAGATGTCCTTCAAAGAGCCCAAACCACTTATGACCTTGATTATGATCATTTGGGTATGTTTGCTGTTTTTTCTCTATTGATATGGTGGTAAATCCTTATATAAACTTCTTACATATACTTTATGGTTTAGTTTTAATATTGATGAGGAAAAAAAGTAATCCTAGTCAACACTGAGTAAAACACCTTTTTTTTTGAGGACCTGCTTTCTTTAAATCATTCCATTTAAAGTAGTCACAGTTTCCAAGAACCCATCAATGTTGTTACTGTATATAGTGTTGATTCCTTTTGTCATATACTACCCTGAAACTCCTGCTTTTTTCACAACTTACGGAAGAGAAACTGCAGATGGCTCATAGTCAGCATTCAGCTTCCTTCTCTAAATATGACTAAATTCTCTAAATATTATTAATCAGGATTCCAAAAGAACCCTGATAGCCACATCAATGAAAAATAACTATTCTGGCCCTCCCTGGTGGCGCAGCGGGTTAAAGCACTGCACTGAGAAGCTAAAGCCGCTTTCGCATGAGTTCGATCCCCGCCTTGCCCCGGAGGTGACCACATGGCGCGGCAGACCTCTCCTGGCCCGCCCGCTGCTCCCCTCAGCAGTGTACTTCGTCGATCTGCCTGTTCTGCTCCCCACTCTGTCTCTGGTGAGGCCTCTCGCCGCCCCTGAGCCTCTGGCCTGTACCCCAGATCTGTATGCACAAATAAATAAATCTTTAAAAAAAAAAAAAATAACTATTCTTTCAATTTCCTAGATCAGGAGTATCTAGGTTGCTATTTATTTCAAGTCTATGATAAAGATACCCATATTTTTTTTTCACTAACTTTCACTCCTCTTAATATGCAAAAACAGCTTGCTTTTATAGTTTTTTTTTGGATGAATATAACTATGAAGGTACTGGCAGAACTGGTAGAACTGTTCTTTGTCAACTCTGTCAAAACTATAATCTATCCAAAATCCTGGCCACCACTGGGGCACTCACTATTTTAACACCCACCACAAAAGACCAGAAAGTATGACCCTTACTTTACTGTCCTTTCTAGAGAATATAGATGAGTAAAAGTTACTAAGAACCTATTGTAGAAAGAAGCCCAGTGGCTTAGTAGGCTATGCAGACCTAGGTTCAAGACATGTGTCAAGGTCAGACCTAGGCACAGGCTTGGGGTAGGACTAGCCGTATACTAGTGAGGCAGAGACAGAGTTGGGATTCAGGTCCCCTTCCTTCCCCCACAAAAAAAGAACCTGTTGTATAAATTTCTGCCAATACTACCTTCACCATGTAATGAAGAGCTTTACAAAACTTAGAGAGTCCATAATTGCTTATGCCAAAAACATGGTAACATACTGGATACATATGTAACTACTCTATCCTATCCCACTGTTCCCTTGCCCTACTCTGTTTGTCCTTCTAATACAAAAAAAGGGATAAATTACATATGTAAACCACATGTTAGTAAAAACTTTAGTCAAATTTTAGTGTCTCCTAGCCACTATTTGTTTTTCAGAGATTTGAGCTAAATTGTGAACAATATTGGCAAAGTGTTTGAGAATATAAATGTGTAATTCTATAAAGTTTGGTAAAATATTTACTTGCTGGGCCCTCCTGGTGGCGCGACAGGTTAGGACGCAGCACTGCAAGATAGCAGCAGCCATTTCAGTACAGGTTTGATCCCTGCCCTGGAGGTGATCCACATGCCACTGCAGACCTCTCCTGTTTTGCCCACTGCTCCCCTCAGCAGTGTACCTTGTCGATCTGTCTGTTCTGCTTCCCGGTCTGTCTTTGGTGAATCCTCTCACCATCCCTGCACCTCTGACTTGTGCCCCAGTTCTGTATGCATAAGTAAATAATCTGAAAAAAAAAGTGTACTTGGACCCTCCCTGGTGGCGCAATGAGTTAAAGCACTGCACTGAGAAGCTAAAGCCACTTCCACATGAGTTCGATTCCTGCCTGCCCCGGAGGTGACCACATGGCGTGGCAGACCTCTC